TGTACATTTCTTCACACAAGTTGCCGTTCAAGAAGGCACTTCTTATGTTTAATTGATGAAGTGGCCAATCTAGGTTCACGACTAAGGATATTAAGACCATCACTGTGTGTAGCTTCGTAGCGGGAGCAAAGGTCCCTAGGTAATCTATACCATAGGACTGCGTGAATCCCTTTGCCACTAACATTACTTTAAATCTCTCTATGGTGTAATCTAGATTGTATTTCACAGTAAATACACATTTGCAGCACACTGGTTTCTTTCATTGAGGTAAATCTATCAAAAACCAAGTTCCATTATTTTCAAGGGCCGTCATCTCTTCCTCCATCTAGGATCACCTACAATCTCTTCTATTGTGTTTGAAATAGGAGTACTATCAACGCTTGCTGTGAAAGCCTTAAAAGCATACATCAAACGACTAAAGGCAATAGACTTTTGTATAGGATGAGCAATATATGTCCTTACACCGTTCCTTTGAGCAATCGGCAAATCATCAATAATAAAATGCAGAATAGGATTTTTACTAGAAGAAAATTTCATACCTTCCAGATTTCCCATGATAAGATTCAAGTTCAACTTTCAGCAACTTCTAGGTTGTAGAGTGAACTTTTCTTTCTTTTTGTAGATATTAAAGTTCTTTTTTTTTTTCTTTTTTTTTTTGAGATGTTTCAAAATGCAAGGCATTGATTCATTGTGGAGTCATAAAAGGAATACCTGATTGAACAGAAGAATGAATTGGAAAATGTCGTATAGGTGAAGGAGAAGGTTCAAAAGATACTATCAGTTGAGATGTAGGATTGAAAGGCAAACCTATCAAATGTTGAAGGCTGTAAAATGACTGTACCTAAATTTCAATATCTGAAACACACATAAACAAAGATCAAACTCAGTAAAACATCTCAAGTCACGAGATAATTTACCAACAAATAGCAAATTGCAAGCTAAATGTGAAACTTGAAGTGCATATTTTAATACAATATCCTTATTGACTATAATTGTTCCAATCCTTTCAATGGCTACCAATGAACCATCAGCTATTTTGACATTGGACTTGGTATCACGAGTACTAAATTCTGTAAACAAGCTCAAATCTCCTGTTATGTGATCAGAGGCTCCAATGTCGACAATCTAATTAGCAAAATCATTATCAACGATATTAGAAAACGAGATTACTATCTTCGTGTGCAATAAAAACCTTCTGAGAATCAGAAGATGCAGTCATTTTAGTAATAAGTTGTTGCAACTCTTCAAGTTGTTGTTTGTTAAACTGACCATTTTTACTGCTCCCTGAGGTAACCAGATTGGCTTGGTTCTCTCTCTACGGCCATGATTTGGACGACTTCAATTAGTAGGTTTGTCATGGATGTTCCAGAGCTGATCTTTGAGATGACCTGATTTCTTGTAGAAATCGCAAACTGGTCTAGCCTTCCTCTGTTTGCTACCATGAGGTGTCGAATGAGTGAACAAGATCGAACCAGAATAATCAACTTCAAGGAATCTATCCAGTGACGGATGCAAAAATTCAGGTCAAGGGTGAAAAGAAATTATGCTAAAAATTTTAGGGGTGCAAAGTTATAAAATTTCAAGGGGAGCGAAATTAGATAATTAATAAAAAATACATAAAATATAAGAGAATTTAAAATTTCTAGAGGTACAACCGTACCTAGCACCCCTCTCGGTCCATCCTTGAATCTAACATCATCAAACTCGTGTTTTCTTCTTGTCTAACTTCTAAAAAATGTTTTTGGAGAGACGAAAGAGGTTTAATCATAAGAACTCTTCCTCTCACCATATCAAGATCTTTATTGAGGCCAGAAAAAAATTGAAAGATTCTCCTTTTTTTTGTGATCGGTTTCTTATACACGAATGCATCTGTAACACACTACCAGTCATTAGATTCAAACATATCGAGTTGTTGCTAATACATGCACATGATATTGCAGAACTACGTGACCGACATCTCTTCTTGTTTGAAGTTGTTGATCTCATTCTCAATACCGAAAAGTTCCACATTATTTTCCAAATCAAAGTATGTATCAGAAAATGCTTTCTAAATTTCTACTACACTAGTGTTAGAGCATAATAGAGTTGAGGAGCCAATAAATTATCATATAATTCTCGTTCAACTAGGTTCGGTATGTGGGTCTAGACGTCTAGTGATTGCTGGAGTCTTCATACTGCTCGAAAGATAGCCCTCTTTTCCTATACGAGTGGTGTAATGCTTCATGATTTGCGACCATGAAAGATAGTTGTTCCCATTCAAACAACGACATGTGATGGCATTAAGAGGGAAATCATTTATGAGTACGTGAGATGGACCAACCTTTAAACTGATTTCAAAGATCTCATGGTCGGCCATTGAATCAAGGGTGTGAGAAATTGAACACTTAGACTAAGATCTAAATGGTGATAATACTTCTCTCGGGTACAAAAATAACATAACTAAAAATCGATATCATCGAAGAAGATGATGATCTAATAATATAAAAAATTATTTAAAAATAATTATCTCTTAATAGAGGAAATGTTATATTAATAATTCTTAAAGAATCTTAAATACTTGATGTTTTGAAGATTAACTATGTAATTTTTTAAAAAATTGTTATTAATAATCTTATTATTATCTCATCGATAATTTTACAAATTAAATAAAGTGGTTGTATTTTGAAATCTTCGAATCATCAATCGAACGAGAGAAATAGTCTAAAACTAGAATTACTTTAAAAAAATATAAAATTAAGAAATAGAAAATAAAAAGACAATATTTAAATATCGAACTAAAATAAAATAATTCATCTTTTATTATAAAACAACGAGGAAAAAGAAGCTAAATTTTTGGAGCCAAAAATCCAGAAATATCGAAATTCCCAACTTATAAAATAATTCATCTTTTATTTTTATTTCGTTTGTTTTTGGCTCTCTCCTTTTCCCTGCACAGAATCTTAGATGAGAGGGGGAGAGAAGAGAGAGATAGCTTTAGATCCTTCATTGCCGTGAATACAACAGGGCTTCGCTCTTTCTCTTTTTCTTGGTTTCTTCCTTCTCAAGGTATTTCATTTTGATCCTTTTTTCTCAACTTTTTCTGGGTTTTTTAGTTTTAAATTCTTGTATTTATGTTTATATTTTCTGGGTTTTGTTTATATTGGCTGCATTGTTCTGTTTGATCACGTGTGCTTTCTGTTAGCTAAGGGTTTCCACAATTATGATCAAGATCAGCTAAGAATTAGACAATGGTAGAGGTTAAATCGCTTAATTTCAAAGTGAACATGGATTAATAATTATTTAATTCAAAATTTAATTACGGCAAGATTTAACTTGACAAGTTTTTATAACTCTGATGATCATGAACCATGATGATTGCATATGCATGGATGCATACACGTATGTGTCCATCTACGTATATCTATATTGTTTTGCTCTTAATGATGTTCTGCAAAATTAAGCAGTAGTAATGGGGAGTTGTGCTTCAATTCCGGCTACAAGAATCTCAACGCAGAGAAGGCACCACCGTAGGTCTCGACAATCCCACCGGAAGCATTCCGGTGCTGTCGCCGAAGGATCAAAGGAGAGGAATAGTAATGCCCGCGTAACAGATATTGCTGTTACTGGATATGTACATATGGATTTCGAGAAGGGTGCAACTTCAACCATGACTCGTAGAAGATCTGAGGTTTCAAACTCCACATATCGTGTCACCCAAATGCAGTGGCACCGAGGCCAACTCGATGCTAAAACAAATGGTACACTCTTTCTTTTCATCATATATGCATAATGGAATGGTTGCGTGATTGTATGCATCAACTGCGTCATTTTATTCAATGCAACGGATGTCTTTGAAGCCTTGTTACGGTCATGCTTTCCCTGGTGTTGTGAATCAGAGGAGTTTAATTCTTTCTGCAGGTCCCCAAGACGATTCTTGGTTTGATTCGTACAGTAGGCTGGAATCAGATTCGGATGACGATTTCATTAGCGTTGGAGGTAACAAAATATTCAACCTTTTCTTGATTATATTTGTAAGGTCCTTTGAGGGTCATTTAGTACTCATGTCGATATGGTTAGTCCAAGGCTAAATGAGGTGTTGGAGCCACTGGATCGTACCGTATACTGTAATCTAATCTATTCAATTTCTTGTGAGTTTTTTCTTTTCCAGATCGTGTTTCGTCAAGTGGTAAGGTGATTCAGTATGAAGGTTCTTCGTGCATCGTGGATGGAAAGTGTAAATACAAAGAATACCGCGAAAGCTTTTTAAGATTTGATGGAGGTAGAATGAGCAAGGATGAATTTAATGACTCGAACCGGCTTGCTCTGCTTAGTAACCAGGGTCATGAGCTTTCGCAATTCGGAAAGGTCAATGATATTTGTAATAGTATGAAGAAAAAGATATTGGATCATCCTAATGGAAGCTTTCAAGGTTCAAAAGAGGATAGGCGTAGTGCTTCCGAAGAGAAGAAAACATTATCAGTTTATAGGCTATCAGTCACGCAAAGATTATGTGAGGCAGAAGAAAAATTCGATGAATGTAAGTAATTTTGAGTTACTTCTTCTCCAATTTATCGAAATCGATAGATCTTCCAGTAATCCTCTTGTTTTATATGTATAACAGATCCATCGAAGCAGATTCTATTTCGTCCCAAAGCAGGATGTACAATTCCATCCTACAAGGGTGATATGGATCACGGATGCTGGTCCAAGATTCTGCCCTCGACTTTTAAACTTCGAGGCGAGTCTTATTTCAAGTATGCTACTGATTCTCACCCTTCATAGTTTTTGTTTTCGTTGAACTATTCATTCTACTGAAGTTTTGATTCTTTTGATTTGTTGATTTGTCTGTCATGCAGAGATAAACAGAAGTGTCCAGCTCCGGTTCCTTCTCCCTATACTCCGATAGGCGTCGACTTATTTATCTGCCCAAGAAAGATAAATCACATCGCAAAACATATCGAGCTTCCTAACATAAAACAAGATGGGACAATCCCTCCTCTTCTAGTTGTTAACATTCAGGCATGTTTGAGGTTACCATAACTAATTTCTCAATAGTAATTCTGTATATTGGATCTTACAACCGTCTTGCTAGTCCCGCTGCAGTTGCCTACTTATCCAGCAACAATGTTCCTCGGTGACGCTGACGGTGAAGGAATGAGCCTTGTTCTTTATTTCAAAGTGTCCGAGAATTACGAAACCGTTATCTCTCCGCAGTATCAGGAGACCATCAAGGTTAGATCATAAGATTTCACTTCCTGAATGATCATCTTTATTCGATTGAATAACATTCCCCATACCAGACTCAAGTGTTGACGACTTTTCTGTTTTTGCTCTAGAAATTTGTCGACGATGAGATGGAGAAGATTAAAGGGTTCACAAAAGAGTCCGTGGTTCCATTCCGGGAAAGGCTAAAGTTCATGGTTGGATTGGTTAATTCCGATGATCTCAATCTGAATTCTACCGAAAAGAAACTCGTAAATGCTTATAATGAAAAGCCGGTTCTCTCACGTCCTCAGCATGACTTTTACAAGGTATAACTTAAGTTTCCACTTGGTTCTTTAGGTAGATCAGTGTTAAATGAGATGGTTTAGGTACAATTTTCAGACGGTTCACGAAGTTTTTATTCGTGAGAGAACTTGGATGAACCGCTCCGTCAATGCAGGCATTGGCCTATTAGCTAGTTTCTCCTGATTTGTCCGCTTGATACAATAATATATCATGACACTTGAACTGCATACGATCTGTCACGAAGTTGTTCATTGTTTTTCTCATGCAGGGCCCTAATTACTTCGAGATTGATTTGGACATTCATCGCTTCAGTTACATATCAAGGAAGGGACTCGAGTCGTTCCGAGATCGTTTGAAGGAAGGAATACTCGATGTAGGTTTAACCATCCAGGTATGACACGAATCTGATTTCTCGTAGAATCATTAGTCGATTATCAATGTTTCCGGTTGCATAGATGATAGAAACAGAATCGAAAATCCGAACTCTAAATACCTCCCATAATCTTTTTCTCAATCTAATAGGCACAGAAACAAGAAGAATTGCCAGAGCAAGTCTTGTGCTGTTTGAGGTTGAACAAGATTGATTTTTGCGATGACGGGCAGATACCGATGCTTACGACTGGCAAGATAATTGATGACGATCAGTGATGGTGCTGGAAATGGCCGATAAATCGACGATGGTGGTCGATGGTGCCGGAAAGGGCTTCACAAAGATTGTGAAACTCTTGTATGGCAAAGATATGTATATCGAATTAAATGTTTAATTCTGGCAATAAAATTACAAAGCTGTATATTTGGTAAATATTATGTTTGAAACCAAACAAATAACAATGTTTTTGTATGGATCGTAGCCTGTGTATTTACTTGTTTTGTAAATAAATGTAATCAATAATCACACGAAAATTGTTTTCAGTTAGTGATTATTTAAATTTAATTATAAGAACATTAATATTAATATAATTTATTAATATATTATTTCAGTTCAGTTGGATTTTTTTTTTTTTGAGTGGAAAAAGAAGCTAAAGCTTTACAACTTAGAAAACAGCTCTGCTGCGGCCATTGGAATCACGAGCTAAAACTTCATTGATGAAGGACGAGACAGAGCTAACAAAGTAATGATCAGGTCCTTGACAAAGAGAATATTTTGTAAGCAAATCTGCAGTAGAGTTGGCTTCACGAGGAATGAGAATATAGTCTACGAGCCAAGCAAGATCATGAAGGGAGGCGATGACCCTAACCAGCGAGGAAGGACTAGAATGAGCATTTGTAGACGTGACCATGTGGTAAACATCGCTGCTGTCAAGCTGGCACTGAACTGTTTCGAAACCCTGGGACCATGCAAGATTTAAACCTTCAAATAAACCGCATAACTTAGCTTGAGTGACTGTTGTAATACCGAGGGATTTGGAGAAATTTCCCAGCCAGTTTCCTTGATCATCTCGAAGGAGTCCACCAGCGGAACCAAGAGAAGATGAGATGGAGACAGCTCCATCAGACTTGAGAGCAATCCAACCAGGTGGGGGTTTATGCCAAATAATAGTGGAGGCAGCAGGAAAAGAGTTTATAGCAGGGGTATTGGGATTTTCATAAAAACTTGCCCAGTGAATGCTGAAAAGAAGAAGATTGTTTCTTGATGTACTTGTACCAGAGAAGATGAAAGGATTCCTCCTCTTCCACAATTGCCATGTTATGGAAGCGAACAGCTTGTTCCAAGGAATACTCGTTCCTTGAAAGAGGCAAAACGTACGTAAATTTGCTAGCAACCAGCTTTCAAGAGGAAGGTTTCAAAACTTATGTACCTACTAAATTATACCGACCCAGAGTTAATTAACTTCCAACATAAACAAAGGTTTCAACCACCGCTAGAAATCATCTCGACAACGCGTTATTCGTGCCTCTATAGCTTGCAAAAATCAGAAACCAAGAGGAGGATTTTATTGGGTGGCGATTAAAAAATGGAGAGAAGAGGACTTGCAATCGTCGAAAATCGAGAAGTCAAAAAAAATCAAAATACTTTTTTAAATTGAATTTTGTAAATAAATAAATATTATCATTGGGCCATAGGTTTAGGTTGAGCTTTATAAAAGGTTATATAAATGTTAGTGTAACACCCCAACTCGTATTCGACCCGAATCTGAGTACGATTTGTCACATTGACTTTTCAAAACTTATATTTGTATATCAATATGAAAAATTCCACTTTTATTCAATATAAGCTCATAATTCATATCATTAAAATAAAAGTATCTTCAAAACTGATCAGAGTGTATATAATTCAAAACATTAATTACATGCCAACTATTTTCAATAACCAAATACAAATAATTCTAAACTCTTTTCTGATCTGATCATAGGAAATTAGAGGCTGACCTACCTTTCCTTGACTATCACTGCTTCACTTCTCTATTTGCTTCTAGAAACCTACGTGTGAAACACTCACACAGTGAGACATATAAAACGTACAAGGTAACTATAACTCTTAACAATTAATGCATACTCCATACAATCAAATCATAAAACCCCATATACACACTCATGTAACAAATATGTACATACAATTATATCATCGTATCATATAGTATTCTGTACTGTTTCATATTCATAAAATCATTTATTTTACCTTACTCAGCTTATAACACATTCACTTGTTATCCTTTAACTCATTCCCTTTTTCATAATTCTTAGTCATATAATAACTATAATATAGTCATCTATCTTATTTCTTATTTCCAATTACTTCTATTTATCATATAACTCATAGACTCTTGCTACATATTCTATATCATATCTTTGTGTACTAATTCTTTATATTCTATTAGTTCATTTTTCACACAATTTGTCATATAAACATATTATCATAACCTGTTACAATTTTAATTTCTATAATGTTCTCATATGATTTCATTTCCTAGATCTTTGTACTATGTTTTATATCACTTAAGAATTGAACCAGTTTTAAATCATCATTTCATTGGAACATATGGAAATTTTCTATACAACCTATTTCTATATATATTTCCTATTTGATGTACTATTTATTTATCTCCATTAATTTATCTAAATTCTCATTTCCAAGTATAATTCTATTATACTAGTTCATCTACAAAGTATATTCTCACTATACAATCATAACTATACTTATGGAATTCATAACATTTCTCATGTAATTATTTGAAACATATCATATAAGTTCATTATAATCTCTTATATTCCAACATATCAAACATACATAATTTTTAACATAGATAATAACATATGCAATACATACAACCATTACACTCATATTCAAGCACACAATTACATAACAATCATATCAAATTTATTTCTATTATCTCTTTATTAGCCCATGTACATTACTGAGAACTTAAGGTATGTGAGTACTGTGAGGTTGTGCACTATGTTGTCACCACAGCTCGTATAAATGCACCTAAGTGCCACATAGAATTGCACCGTAGTGATACGTAGAAATGCACCAAAGTGCCCTATAAGATTGTCCTTAAGGACCACGTAGAAAATTCCTTATGAACCATATACATATGTCAAGGATCAAGTATGTGTCTCAAAAGACCTCACACATGTTCCAAAGAATACATATATGTCCCAAAGAATACATATATGTCCCAAAGAACCGCGTAGACCCTCGACTCTTGGCATGCCAACTATAACTCTAGCTCTCATGTCACATAACATGGGAATTAATAGTTATGTTATCACACATTCACATGTACACGTAGTCTCATAGTTCTTTCATATAGCCCACTGTCATATAAATCATATATCACATATACATATAGACACATGGTTCACTTACACGTAGAACATTTTTATATGATTCACCTATCATATGTACTTTCTCTTTCATATATCTCATATCACATAGTTCACTTCTCATATGATTTTATATTCATATATCCCATAGCTCATATTACTTTGCATGGATTGCAAAAACATATATGTGTATATATATATATATATATATATATTATCATGTTTATCATCTAGGTTCATTCACTTAATCTCTTATACGCGTATATCTCATATTCATATCATTCATTCAAATCATGTCACACACATACAATAACATATAGCTCAGACACTCATAGCAAATACATGCTTAGGTTCATGAATTCATGCATAACACTATAGGAAATAGACTTATTGCAAGTCTTATTTCCATTAAACATCATATGCTATCTAATATGCACTCACCTTGGCCTCACTAAGTTCCAATCCACTATTATAATTTCCTTTCTTTCGATCGAATCTTAACTTGATAATCGTTCTGGAACTTGTTCGTGCTCGATATCTACTTAAATACACATTTTAAGGTAATTATCAGATATCTACACCTTGTAATTTGATGCTAATAACTTGAATGAATTTAACAGGCCAATATTCACTTTTTCCTTTAGGGGTGTACCGATGCACTATAGGTGCATCGATACACAAAATAGCTTCAAAATTACCATGCATCGATGCCTTTCAGTGTGCATCGATGCATATTCAAAATTATTCTTAGTGCATCGGTACACATTCATAGTGCATCAATGCACCTTCCCAGAATAGGTTGTTTTTACCCGAAAATTATCAACACTTCATCCAAATTTTCCAATATTAATCCCTAGTTATGCTACCAAACTTAACTATGATCACTTTAACCAACTTCTATCATTCCAACACCTTATTTTCTTCCATATATTTCCCAAATTCTTAAAACCAAGAATTTTACCACATTTTCCATGTTATCTAAACTTAATTTTAATTCTTATAACTTTTTATTCTCATAGATTACAAGTCAAATTTAACTTCCAACTTCAATTCCTAACTCTTTTCCAAGATTTCAATTTGAAACCTCTTATTTTCAATCTCTCATAACTTGATAATCTTTGATTTTTAATTCATCTTAAGCTTTCCTTAATCTTTTGTATCACTCTAAGAATCAAAACCAACTTTAAAATGAAAGAATTAATCAACTTGAAACCAAGTTACCTTTGCCATGGAGCTTACGAGAAGAGAAGAGGAAGAAGAGAAAACAAGCTCCAGAATTTTCTTTCCTTTCTCTCTATACCACGTGTTGTTCTCCTATATAAAGGGAGAAATAAAATCCTTCCATAGAAAAGATCATTTTACCCTTATTACTTTCAAACTTTGTTATTAAATCCAACATCAACACTTTTCATTTAAGTCTCTAACCTTTTAATCTTTTCTGAGATTGGTACTAAATTTTAGAATCTTTCAATTTAGTCACTAACCCCGATTTTGGGATATTACAGTTAGAGTTGAATACATGAAAACAATGTGTGAATAAAATCAAGTTTTATTGTTCTTTGCTTCTCTGGAGTACAAATAAAATTCAATCTCCTTTCATTTATTTATTTGTATTCTATTTCATAATTTATTTATTTATTCTTTATTATGCGACTCTTTAAGATTCATCTAAGTGATGTACGTGATAAAGTTCACAATACATAATTCCTATTCTTCATCGTATTGTCTCGACTCATCCGAAATACAATAAAAAATCTCTTCCAAAATTGAGAGCCTCAGTAATGTATTGTCTTTTATTTCTTTTTTAATTAATCTATAAGAATATGAATAAAACCTCAATTGTTTGAGCTAGAAGAGTGTACAAATATTCCTTAAATATTCGAAGTTGTAATCTAGTTTCTTATTATACAATGAGCGTCTTGTATTTTATAAAAATTGAGAGCAATATAATCCTTA